CCCTTCCACTGAGTCTCTTTCTCCTGCTGCCATTGTGTGCGTGTGTGGGGGAGTGCCTGTGTGAGTGCGTGTAGGAACTAAGCTGTGTACAGTACAATCTTCATTTAGTAAAACTGTTGTTTGGACCCCTGAGTTGGGTTCTGCTTTAGTATGGTTCCGGCCCTGCTCCAATCTCTGCTCTCGTCCCTCTAACTTCTGTCTCATTTCTCCCTCTCCTGCTTCTGGCTCACCGCCACCTCCAACACCTGTCCCATGCTCTTGTGGCTCCAGCCATCCTGAGCTCCTCTCTGCTTGCAAAACTCTGTTTCTTTGCCACTGTCTCATCCCCACTGCCTTTTCCCCTGATCTCCCAGCTTTCTGCCTCTGTTTCCTGGCTGTTTCCTCCTTGCCATCGGGCTTTTTCCCTTGCTTTCACCCTGGCATCAGGTGAGCCTGAGTAACCCTGGGGCCACTTGACCTTAAGTAAACCCAAGCCTCAATTCCTCAGTGAGCTTCTCTCTAGTCCACTGGTTCTAATCCCAGTTCTGGCAACTTTCACTCGCTACACTTTAACTCTCTCTTTCACCTTAACCTTCCCCCAAGTACCCCAGGTACCTCAAGCACACGCATATAGACGCCACACCATCCAAGTTAGGAACTTACCTGTGTGTATGTGTAGGTGGGTTGTATGTGTGTGAAGTGTGCGTGTGTGTGTGTGTATGTCATTGTGTGCATGATATATGAATTAGTAATCTGTGGATGTGTACTGAGTGTGTGGGTATTGACAATTGATTTTTGTCCAACTTTTGGTGTGTACAGTGTGTAGGTACTTGAATTAGTAATAGGTGTACATGTGCCTAGGCTGGTAATTTTGAGTGTGTATGTGCCTGAGTTGGTAGCATGTGTGTACACCTGATGGGGTATATGAACCTAGAGTATGTGTATGTGCCTAGTGTGTGTGTATGCACCTAATTGATTTTTGAGTGTGTGCATGTGCAATTGTACACCACACCTTCCTGTCTAACAGCGCAATATCTAGGTCCTGAGCATTGGCCTGACTCCACAGGGCAACAAGATAATGTGTAATTATAGTCAAATGAAAAGATTTACAATAAGGTTATATTTATTGTAGTTAATTGTGAATGCAACAATGTGAGAAATACTTGGAATAATGTGTATGGTGTGAAACCTCAAGAGAGAAGTTTCTGGACCCCAGGGTCACAGGAGTACTGTGGGAAAGTAGCTTAGAGATTTGTGTACTTTATTCATTTCCTCTCTATTATTTATGTGGTGCTAGATGCTGTAAAAGCACAGAAGATGATTCAGTTTCTGTTCCTAATACACTCTCAGTCACTCAAACAGTATAAAAACAAACTACATATGGGCAATGTAAGGTTCATTGGATTTACTTCTACCTTTTCCCATGTTCTCTAGCCCAGTGGGGGCCAACCTTTTTGTCCTAAGATACACATATTACCCTGTACCCGCCCTGAGTGCCACTCCAATGCCATCCACAGAGGTGGCCTATGCCATTTGTGGCACTCATGTTGCAGGTTGGCCACCATTAGTCTTCCTGATCAATAGTACCCTAATATCACCCACATTCCTGTCTACCTATCCCACTAAGATAGGAAAGGTATTCATAGTTGACTGTCATGAGGAAGTTGAACCACTGCTAGACTTATGGGTAGATACATTGTAGTGATGCTAAAATTGGCTTGTACCAGTGAAGCTTACCTCCATTAGAATCCTGGAAGAACCCCAAATTAGTTGATGCTTCTGCAAATTTAAGTGTTAACAGCTCTGAATTTCATTTCCTCACATTTGCTAAATGGGGATATAGTACTGTCCTGTTTCCCAGGAAAGCTGTGAATATAAATTCCTCAGTGTCTGTGAGGCACTTGGGTACTGTGGCCTAGATTCACAAAAGGATCTTAAATATCCTTTAAATACTCAAGTCCAATGTAGTTGCTACTGGCGTCTCCTCCACTGACCAGGGGCATCTTTACATGTGCTCCGGGGGCAAGAGGAGGGGTGCTTTAATTAGACCAGCTCCCAGGACCACTTGAATTAAAGTGCTTACAGCGCCTCATGTGTTCAGCATCCTGCACTTCAAAATGGCAGCGCAGGCACTTTAACTAAAGCTTGTTAGATGAGCTTTAGTTTAAGCACCCTGACTGCCATTTTGAAGCACAGGGACACTAAATACACAAGATACAGAGGCTGCTGGAGTGCAGTCATTGCTACGCTCCAGCAGACTCTATTAATTGAGTCTGCTCTGATACACTATAATTACAGTGTGTCAGAGCAGCATTCCCACATGTGTACCTTTGTAGGTACTTACATTTCTTCAGCACCTAAGTTTTCTCCAGTAAAATTCCCTTGGCACCAAAATTTCCACTCTTGGCATGTGTACAACTATGTGAACCTGCTTGGCCTCTGTCTCTTGACTAAACCGTGGTGGGATTCACAAACCAGATATTCCCACTCCATTTTATGCCAGCAGTGCAGAGCACTTACCCAGTAGAAGACTACGTTTCAAATCCTTTCCATGCCTCTTTGAATGTAGGTCCCCTGTGACTTATGAGAGTATCCTAACTCATGGATAATTCTTTCATGTTCATAGAAGCATATGGTTTTAGACAGCACCTGGAGAATCCAGGGGCGAGCAATTATTTTGGGTGGAGGGCCACTTACTGAGTTTTGGCAAGCCATTGAGGGCCGCATGACAGGCAGCCAGGGGCATATAAATATTAATTTGTTAAATTTTTTAGGGGCCCTGCGGGCCAGATAGAATGGCCTGGTGGGCCGCATCTGGCCCCTGGGCCAAATTTTGCCCACTCCTGGTTTAATCCAACCTCTGTACAAACATAGGGTGTAAACCAGCAGAGACAAATACCTACCCTGCCTCTTCTTGAAACCTCCCGGAACGGAGGTTCCACAGCTTCCTTGGGCTACTTACTGCATTGTCCTCCTGCTCTTGCAGTTTTCCTGAGATTTATGCTAAACCTTTGGTGAAGTTGAAATGCAGTGCTGCACATCCTGCTTTTCATAGGAGGACAGCACAAATGGTTCTTCATCTTCTCTATTACACCTTTTTTAATATTTGAAAACTATCATATTGCCTGCAATTCCTTTTTCTCTCAAACAAACATGCCTTGTTCTTCTACTTGTTCCTCACAA